ACTGTGTGCGAATAGTGACATTTTGAGATCACTGTGTGCCAATAGTGACATTTTGACATCACTGTGTGCCAATAGTGACATTTTGAGATCACTGTGTGCGAATAGTGACATTTTGAGATCACTGTGTGCCAATAGTGACATTTTAAGATCACTGTGTGCCAATAGTGACATTTTGAGATCACTGCACACCAATAGTGACATTTTGAGATCACTGTGTGCCAATAGTGACATTTTGAGATCACTGTGTGCCAATAGTGACATTTTGAGATCACTGTGTGCCAATAGTGATATTATGAGATCACTGCACACCTAAAGTGACATTCTGAGATCGCTATGTGCCAATAGTGACATTTCTTATCTAGCCAAGTTAATATAAAAACGCATGTGACTGCCAAATAGAAATTTATTCTGTTCTGCCTGCACATGTTGTAGCAACGTCTTATCCCCACCAGTTGGCTTTATACATAATCCTCTTATATTGTAGTCTGAAACTACAAGATGTTCATATACATAGTTCAATGAACATGTTGTTTAAGCACCGGATTTTTTTCACACGTACATAGCCTCTCAATTTTTTTTTATTAACAGATGTAGTGGGAGGTGTCTACTAGCAGCAGCACTCCGGAAAATGCGGGGGAGGTACTTATCAGCGGTGGCACTACGGGAAATGCAAGAAGAGTAAAAGAATAAAAAAAAGAAAGTTAAATTTAATTTAGAATGTTTGTTGCATGGATGAGAAAGCTAGACCTTGGAACGATTAAGTTTGCTTGAATAATTCTCAGCTGCTGTATATTTGCCTAGTTTCAGAAGTGCATTCTTGACCCACATTCAGGTAACATGGGAGATACAGAATAGTTGAAGAGATTTCAAAAAATAAAACATTGTTCAGGTATTATGTGGAGTATACTAAAAGCTCAACAAGTCCTAATATACAGAGGATACGGTCTGTTACATTTGAATTACAAAGGTTTCCTGCGAAAAGAATGGGAGCTTTGAATATTTGTTATACAAGCTTTTCAAAATGTCCAAAAACAAAAACAATGAATGTCTTAGAATAGGAAACACAAGATTTCAAATATACACACATTTTTATTCCTTCACCAAAAATCATTTTGTACTACTGGAGTATTGTTTTAAAACCGAAAATTTGTGAGAAATTCCTATTTCATAATAAAATAGATTTTTCAGAATCCAAGTTTGTTGTTCAACGATTTCACTGGATTATACATCTACAGCAAATGTAATACAGAAAGAATGACAACAAATATTCTAATTAAATGGTTACAGAATGTGAGACGAAGAAAGAAAAAAAAAATGATAAGAGAGAACTGTGATGCATTCAATCAGAGCAGCAAATAAAGTCAGTATAAATCACACATTTAATAACTCAACTAATTCGGGAAAAAAGATGAATAGAGATGGATTGAATGTGAACATCGGGTGCCCTCAAGTACAATATAAAGAAAAGAATTCAATAGTAAACTTTCAAGAACCGAATATCAATTGTGACTTTGCCATTCGTACAAAGAAACAAAATGTCACCATCTAGTTGTCTTGTGTATGACGGCCAATATGTGATTGTGTGTCCTCATGTCCAACTTAACAAGCAATAATTCAATTTCAAAAATCCAATATTGGCTTCAGATACTGCGAAACATATGAACAAACAAGTCCTAATGTGATTAAACAAACCCATCTTTTTTCATACTATTAATGGTATTGTTCTCGGCAGGGAGCATATCACCAGAAATGCAATACGGACGCACACACTGACAAACCGCCAGCAAAATGTAATAAATAGGGGGAAATGAGTTTTGCAGGGATCCAATAATATCGTTAACTGAGCATACGCTTAGAATAAAACATTTAATCTACATTAAAAATTATCTTGAATACATAGCGTATGATTTCATGTCGACTCTATTGACAATGCACATGTCAGTATCAAGTTGAGATTTCATAAGGTCAGTCTTTTTAATATTTCTGATAAAACCGCAGTCGTATTTTACTGAATATGCAGCATGTTTTTGGTTTTTCAGCATTTTGACTGTCAGTGTGGTAGTAGTGTGGTAAGCACTAGTGAGCAAGAAGCTCTAATGTTATAATAGGCATCGATAAATGTATACAAGGAATCCAAATGTGACAAATTAGAAAGAAATGTACGTATTTGAAGACCAGAATAATGTTCAACAGTAATCATGCTTGCTTTGCATAAATTTGAAAGCAAGTTTAAGTTCCTTGCACTAATTTAAAGGATAACCGCTCAATCCCATGGATTGCACAAAAGAATCATGGGACACTATTGTTTATGTCAATTACAAAGTTAATTTATCTTTTGTTATCCATTGTAATTTTAATCCAGAAAGTGAATTTGTTGTGAGATTAGACTTAACTGGAAGTGCCCCTTTAACTTAAATCAAATCAATAAAATTCTCATCCAATCACAATAAAATCTTGAATAAATAAAGAAACTCATCCAGTTACAAAATAGTATATGTCTGTTTCACATAAATTACAGCACTCTTATCCAATCACATACAAGAATATGCTTCTCTTGAATAAATTAAAAGCAATTGTCAACCAATCAAAATCTAGTACAAGTTCCTCTTATACAGTTGAAATTCTTTCCATTGATATGTACAGCTCTTGAGCATGAATCAGGAAATATCATACAAAAAGCCCATGTTTTCTTGTTTATTAGTTGCCTCCTTTAATTTAAACCAGACCGATACAATGGCCTTTCCATTATGGCAGTATTTTCAGCTCATTTAAATGAACTTCTAAATTATTATTGATTAACCCTTAGGTGCAACACTTTGATGCAAGTTAATTTTTGACTAAATGGACATAGTTTTTCATTGGCTCAAGGTCTTGATCAATGTTTTTGAATTAAATACAGAATAAATTGTACAGGTTTATTTTTTTTGTGAAAAGTGAGAGAACAAGAGGATTACGACATACACACTTCCTACAGTAACGACTGTACTTCTATAAATGTATTAAGTATTACATAAGAATATGTAAATGACATGGACTTTGAGCCTAGGATGGCATATTACCAGGGTGAAGTCACTAAGCATTATTGGAATACAAGTCACTATAAAACAGATAAATTTTATCTACAATTTTTGTGGTCTAAAAATAACAACCTCCAGACAGGGTGACTGTGACATGGAGAAGACAACCCTCAATAAAACTAAGTGTAAAGCATGTATATTTGATGGAGTCTCAAATTGGAAAAATTTTAAAAGACAGAGCAATAAAAATAAGTTCCATCAAATAAACGACAAGAAGTTAACAAGTCATTGTCAATGACACGTCCCCGTTCCGTTCATATTTGAGTGACATATACATTCAAAGCAGATCATGACTGAAATGCACCTGCATATGTACAACACATTGTGCTAAATCTGAACAAAATCCATCCATGCATGACTGAGATCCGGTTCTGGAATTGTGAAAATATGTGATTTTGATGCATTTTCGGCCTTAAAATGGCCATCATTCCGCTATTGTTAAGCAGATCATGAAA